GCCTCATGCATGACAGGCAATTTCTCTTCCAGTGAACTACAGCCAAGGCCCTTTTGTAGTTTGTTTTTACTTACATTGAATGGAGTGTTTATTTTCTTGTCATTCCCACTTCAAGTGACAAAGAGAAGAAAACTTATCTGATGGGCAAGAAGAGAAAGAGAGGGACAGGGAAGAGGAGAGGGAGAGGGAGGGAGAGGAAGAAGATGAACTTGATCATGGATGTAAAACCTTGAGCTGCGAATCTTCACATGGTGACACCTAGATCAATTGTCATGCCAAGGCTTTACCTTATGAACTGACATTTTGTGACAAGGATTTGTTTGCTTTGCTTTGCTAAATGAATATGGGACAGTATTCTTCCACCTTCTGAGATGTATGGACACTAGATTTACTTTCCATGTAGTTTTTAAATAGAAAAACTGCGAAAGCTAGGTATGTCTACAAAGATGACTGGAAAACAACAACAATAAGAACAACAACAAAACAGAATTTGGAGATAAAAGAATTTATTTAAAGCTAGAAATACTCATTGGACCCAAATGGTAAATGGCGATGAGTATGTTTTTCTGGACAACTGAGGCCATATATGTGTGTGTCCTAATCAATATATCAAGTTCTTATTTAAAAGTATGAAACTCCACAAGTCAGGTAATTATTTTTTGGTATTTCTGCCTGTTTGTTATCTTGAAATGGTTAAAAGCACAGTCCCAGAAGCTACACAGCATTGGGCTGGAATCTCAAGTTCAATACTTAGTGTGTGACCTTAGGCAAATGACTCAGCCACCAGAAGATCCAGGTCCCTCAGCTGTAAAAGAAGGATTTAAAAACCACTTGCTCTTTCACAAGGATGCACAGAGAGTAAAAATTTCCATGCACAGTGCTTAGTACAGTTGCTTGGCACGTGGGAAAAGCTATCCATCAGCTATGGATAGTGTTTTCATTATCCTTGAGTGGCTTAGAACAGCTCTCCTTACTTATCAGATTTAGGAAGCCAACACAGAGGAAATGATAGCTGTATCCATTTATTATCCCCAGAATGGCTGGGGATAATAATCACATCCCAGGTACAGCAAAGCTGAAGTAGGAAACCAAGTAAGCTGCTCAGAAGACTGCAGATACCACTGCCTTTAAAAACTCAACTTTATCTTCTCCTATACTAGGAAATTGCCCCCCGCCCCCCGCAATTTTCTGATTAAGCAGGCATTACTTTCATGTTAAGGGTAAACATCTCCTGATATCCAACAACCCTGAGAAAAGACTTACTTTACCTTCCAGAATTTCTCATTACAAATGTACACATAGGCATATCATTTGACAAAAAGTGCTATTACATTGTATTTGTTATTTCACATGCTATTTTGTATTAAAAAAAAACAACAACTATCTTCCCATTGCATTCACTGGAGGTCTACATGTCGATTGATAGCAGGACTCCAACCTTTAAGTGCATAGTGGGAGTAAAAAAAAAAGTGTTTTCAAAGAAGTGATCGTTGGAAGAAAACAGGCCCCACTTTCAATAATGGCTTCTCAAAAACCTAGGTAGCCTATGAGGTTGAAATCAATTTCAAAAGCAAGTAAAACTCAGAGGCTTTTTTTTTTAAATGAAAACATTGGAGAGAAAGAGGACGTAGGCTTAGGGTGCGCTGTGTAACACACCCCACTGCCCACACAGCTATTACTCCAGGAATGTGAAACTTGCAGAATTTAACTTTTAATAAAACGAGAACTCGCTGTAAGTAACCTCAGTATATTTTCAGGGTTTAGAACGCTTATTTTATCTAGATCACAGTTCTTTCAGCCTTGGCAGCAGAAAGTTATTTCTGAGTGCTAAACAAATATGAAAAAAATATGGGTCTGGCCTAGAGCTTGCTTTCCCCTGCCAGGCTGGGCTCTCTCCAGAGGCCCATGTGTGAGTTCTTAGCCTCTGAATGCCACCATGGCTCGGATAAGCCAATCTGTATACTTAAGTGTCCAGGGCATGCTCCAACAACTTTTATCTGGAAGTCTGAGCACATCACTTCTGGGATTCAATTCTACCCTGCCAGGAGTTAGAGACAAGGATGAAATTAGATTTCATCTACCAATGTTTGCTTTTACCCTCTTTTTATTTTCTTACCATGGTTTCTGCTTTAAAAATCAAGAGTGAGTTTGCTATTCCCCTTGTAGATAATGAACAGACAGCTATAGGGAAAGAATTTGTATTAGAGAAGACATCTACTGGCTTAAAGAGATGATATGCACCATTCAAACTTGAACAAGAGTTTGTAAAACTGGATTTACCCTGAAAGTGGCCCAAAATAATGGACTATAAGCTGTGACTCACAAGGAGTATCAGCTGGGGATGGGAATAGGAGAGCTGCAGAGTAGAGATTACAGGGGCAATAGAAAATGCCCAGCTGGGGAGAAAGACCTTTGGGAGCAAAGCTCTCGTCACACATCAGGTCCAGACACCTAGCATCTTGGCAGAAAGGCAGGCAAGATGGCTAGTCTAGCTCTAGCAGGCTGGTAGCCTAGGATAGCTTCAAAAGGGGAATTTCATATCCAAGTAGCCTTTGCTTTCTTACCAGGTAAACCCTTCTGAGCAAATCTGTAACCCAAAGTAATATCCTATGCCAAACTGATGGGCACTCAGATAGAGTGGACCTTCTTTCAATATCAGTGAAGGGGAGGGGGAGGGAAGACTTTCCCGACCTCTATGTGGGAGAAGAGAGCAGCTAGTAATGAGAAATCCCAGCAGCCATCCACACCATTATCCTCCCCCCCCCCAATTTTCCCTCTTAGGCAAGTTATTGGCCAAAGGAAATAGTTTTTGCACTGCAAGAAAACTTAATGAGGGTGAGTCATCTTATATTAATAAGTAACCTTTATGAAATGAGCCGCGTCACTCTCGCTAGGCTATTCACAGGGAAAATGACACAAAAAGAGTTTAGGGAAATGGTTTTCTTTCTCTTCTGGCCTTCGGGACAGCTGTTCTCCAAAGTGGCCTGCAGGCCTATAGCATCAGCATTACCTGGAAGCTTGTCGGGGATTCACATTCTATGGTCCCACCCAGATCTATTGAATCAGGTGCTCTGGGGTGTGTGTTCAGTGTGGTTCTGAGGCAAGTTCAACATTGAGAGTCTGTGCCTAAAGGAAAGAGCTTGAACAGGTCATGATATACCTCAATACACTAAGGCTAAAGTATGTGACTGAGCATAGCGGCTTATGCCTGTAATCTTAGCTGCTTAAGAATAGAGATTTGGAGGATCATAGTTCAAGGTTAGCCCCAGCAAAATAAATAAACAAATAATAAACTCCATCTCAGTCATGAAGGCTGGGTATGGTGGTACATGCCTGTCATCTAAGCTACTATAAACTACAGGAACGATAAATAAGAAAATCACAGTTTAGGCCAGCCCAGCTATAAACTCAAGATCCTATTTGAAACATAAGAAGCGGGAAGGGTTAGGGTATGGTGGTAGAGTACCTGACTAGCACAAACAAGGGCCTACATTCAAGTCCCAGGATTGGGGTGGAGGGGAGATGAAAAACAAAGGCTTAAAGGAAGGATGTGAAGATTGACTTAGATATGGCCCTGACTTTCAAATGGCCCATAAACTTCTGGACTCTTTTCTTCCTCTAGGAGAGAAGCTATTTTTATTGTTCTTATTTCTTAGTGGGATTACTAGTGACTGTAGCATCACAGGCACTCAGTAAGCCTGCAGTGTATCGAGCTGTAGGTCCACTCAGGAATTTTCATCAACCCTACAATACAATTCACCACTAACCCTAATGCCACCCAGCTGAGTACACACAGGCCACTGTGAACTTACAAGTAGTCATCTGTCAGTCCAATCCTTTCAAACATCCCAGGCCATAGACAGTATTTTTAGTTCCCCTCTGTGCAGGAAAAATGGAGGCTCAAAATATTAAAGCTACCTCATCCAGGGTCATACACCTAAAAGAGTGTCACTGCCAGTGTCTGTCTCAGAAATATCCACTTCCAAAGTGTAACGCAGGGGCATGATTGTCCCCAAAGCTTCTCATGCTGATTATCACCTCGCCATTCTCACCAGGCTTATCTTACAAGTGCAGTCAGTAGACCGACCTCATTTCCAGTGGTCAAACACTAAGATAACCAACTACTAGAGGATCTAGGCTTTCACAAGCCAGAAAGAAAATTCTTACAGTAGATCTGAAACAGAGGGTTGCCAGCTTGTAATTTTGCCAAGTACATCCCCCTCTCCCAAGGATTAAGTATCAACATCACTTCCAACAAGGAAAAAAAATACTATGCCAAAACAAAGTACAAAGGACCTAATTTTATAATAAAAGAGAGTCAATCCATTTCATTACATATTTTCTCATACACAATGAGCATTGTGTCCCACCTTTCTCATTTTTCATAGATTTGGCATTTGGTTTTCAGGAAGCTCAAGAAAGTAGAGAATGGTGGGGAAAGTACACTCATGGGCTATTCTGCCCTTACTGGTCATAAGAAAGTGGGCACAAGGGCCAAGCTAGGGCAGCCTTGGACCCCCAGATCTTAAACTTCAGTGTGCATCAGAATGAGCTGCAGGGTTGTTGTCTGGATGGAGCATTCAACCCAAGCAGGCTGGGAAGAATGGGATGGAGTGAGTGTGGCGGATGGCAGAGCTGTGGACCCCACATTCTGCACTATCTTTGAGCTAAGGTGGAAGAGAAAGCAATACAGGTGGGCTGACATAGGTCTGAAGTGAGTCTGTGGTATGCTTTGGCAGCTGCAGCCACCAATTAAGTAATGGCTCTCCCACCACTGTCACTTTGGCTATGCCATTCTATGTCTCATTAGAGATCTAAGAGCCCTTTGACATCTGCCATCCATTGTTATCTTGTGACACTTCAGGGCCAGGAGAGTTGAGAGTTGTGTGTATGGGCTGGGGGCGGGGGGGTGGTTACTGGAGGCTCAGGAGCTTCTAGAGTCAAAGACTGTGAGTACTGAGAAAGGAAAGGGGGATTCATGCCATAAGGCAAGACCTTACCTTACTAGGAGGTGGTCCATGGTCATCCAAGTAAGTGGAATTCCCTAGGGGGGAGAAAGGAGAAAAAGTCAATGAGTTAATTGTTCAAGCCCCAAATGAATTTGGCACAAAATATTTAGACAACTGTACCCCCTCCCAAAAAATAGGTCCCTTATCACCAGTGTGACCAGCTTTTGCTGACATTACATGCTTACTTCACGGTTTCAATAGTTATAAATTTTATTTATTTATATATGTATATATACACACGTATGTGTGTACATGCCCCCCCCACACACAAAGAAACATGAACTATTATTCCACATCTAATACCTGTGGAGTTGACCTTGGAGCACAGGGTCTTAAACTTTAGTGTTTATTAAAATTAGCTATAGGGCTTGTTAAAACACCCCTTGCCTGGCTCTACTCCCAGAGTCCTGATGCACTAGCTCTAAATATGTGCATTTCTAACCAGCACCATCACAGTTTGAGAAGTCTATGCTCTCTCCAGTCTGCCTTGAAGTTGGCAATTCTCTTCCTTCTCCCAGTCTAGCTTGATTAGCTTCACCAATAGCTAGCTCTCTGCTGGCTGAGTTCTCAGAGGGCAAGGTTACTGTTCCCTTACTCTAGAGAGTATTATTTGTTCTTTTTAAAGCACTCAGGTACTTTGCTAAGTGTTTTAAAGCTGTTCCTTTATCGGATTCAGATATCAGAGGTGGGTTAGAGCAGTCTCCATTTTCCAAAGGAAAAAACGGAGGTGTCTAGAGAAATCCAGTAGCTTCCCCAGAGTCCCACGCTGTTCCAAAACAAAAAGGAGAGACTGGTTTTTCCAGGGTGTGTCTGGATATCTGCTTATCTGAAAATCCTACCCAGCATTTCGCCATCTCCTCTTTCATGGAGACCAGGCATGCAGGTGCACCTGCTGGAGACAACGGGCCACTTGGGGAAGCCAAGAAGGCAGTCTATCCAAGAGAGGGGAACTCTTCTGAGTCCAGAGAAATTGTTTGTACCAGAAAAGTAAAGACGGCAAGACTTGCTAATGGAACAAAATATAGATAACACTGGAAACCCAAGGATACTTACAGAGGTTAACAGATTATGGAATATAAGAAATGTCTGAGTTTGAATAGACAAAAGTGCTTTTGATAAAGTCAAAGTAACTTAAGAAATTGGAATTCGAAAGGGAGCAGTTTAAGCCAGGGACAGTTCAATTAGGGAAGTATATCCAAGTGTGATAATTATGTGGGGTTTCACTTAATAGGATTTTCCACACTGAGTCAGCATCCACCCGTTTCTCATTGGAGCCTTCTGATTTATAACCTACCTGATGCCCACAGGTATTGTATTCTAATTGACCATTTGCTCGTAACAACAGGATAATAAGGGTCCAATTTTAATGTATGAAACACAACAATAACACCTGTCAGGCTTATGATTGGGCTAGATGATGGAATCTTTTAAATGTGAGTGTGATAACTAATTTGTCAGAGCCTAGTGACTGCGTTGAACTCTGCTGGGAACGCATATAAATAGGACTGTAGGTCAGACTTAATAAAAAGGATATGCATGAACATGACTATAGTTATCTATGTCTAGAGGACCACTTAGTAATATTCTACAGTAATGCGCCCAGTGAGTTCTCATCTGCCCACCAAAGGATATGCTTTCCCCAAACACATTCCAGCATGTTCTCTAGGCTTCAGCTCAAGGGCCAAGGAGAGCTCCAACAACACAACATTTCTAAAATACTAAAACTTGCCACAAGATCCCAAATTCCTTTTATAAAAATGTACTTCCTAATAGGAAATAATTTAAATGCTTGATCACTACTTCAAATTCCAGACCAGGGACCCCGAATGCTTTAGCTCCTCAGCTTGGGTATCTGAAGACATTTCAGACTTCACAGGTCAGGTCCATTCCCCCCGATCACTGTCACCTCTGCATTGCACAATGTGTCTCTTTCCCCAAGCATGTCCCTTTTATTTCAGGCCAAAGCCCAAGAGTCGCCCATGATCCATCTCTTTGCCCAACCTTACACTTACCAACCTCAAGTCTTGTTGGCTTAACCTTCAAATTATAACTCAAATTTAACTATGGCTCACCAGCCCCTTGGTCCAACCAGGAGATTCCCTATACTATACTTCTATATTCATAAAATAAGCAAAGAGAGAGTTTTAACCTTATTGATTAGATTACATTAGTGTTCTGTTTGAAATTGATGTTTCTAAGTCCATTCCTAGGATCTGTAAGGTCCCCCATGACCCCATTCCTGCTTCCTACCACCACTAGTCACAACAGCCTCTTCTCTGCCTGGAACACACCAATCTATGGTCAACCAATCGATGGCCTTTGGAATGGCTCATTCCTCTTCTAGAAAAATCCTTCCCTACCTATTCCATTCAGGCTCAACTCAATTGTCACTTCCTTGTACAGGCCCTCTCTGAACACATCTGTTTGTCTATACATTCAGCTTATGAGCTTCCTGGGACTAGGACTTTAGCGCTTTTCTGGCTTGGACATGGCTAGAATTCCTAGAACAGAACCTGAAAAAGCTTAAGATACTTTGTAGTTGGTTAGTGATTGAAATATTTAGTTCACTGGCTATATCAGAAGTCTTTGCCATGATTTTTTGCAATGATTTTTAAAGCAATGAAATATTACTTGTGTATTAGCCTTACTCCTTGACCAAATGATTGGCAACAGTTTTACAAGGGAATAGAAATCTTAGAAAAGAAAAAATCGCCCAGCAGTCTTCATCATTTCCCCCCTAATTCAATGACACCTTAGCAATCAGCATGACATTGAGTAATTTTCTTATCTTCTCAGCATCTCTTTTTTTGAGTAAATGAAGATAATAGTGGTATAAGCTCACAGATGTGGTGTGGGAGTAAATAATGTCATACATAGCACTTAACTAAGGGTGGGAAACTACTTTTACTAATGAATGAAACTAACACAGCTTGTAGATCTGAGATATTTAGCATCCCTTTGGCTCAGCATATAAATATGTTAAGTTTTACATGTGGGAAATACTGAAACTAAGAAAACAGTGATCACAGCAAAATGGTTATAATTTTTTATACATATTCATACATTTCATGAATATTCACATGTGTATGCATAAGCATATATATGTATATATGCATATGTGTGTATATATACATATATATGTATATACATACACACACATCAATGCTGGGGATTGAACTCAGGACCTCATGCATAACCCTAGCCCTTTTGGCTTTAGTTTAATTTTCAGATAGAGTCTTATACTTTTGCCTGATTCTGGCTCCAGACTGTGATCTTCCTATCTTTACTTCCTAAAAACTATAATAACAGGCATAAATGGCTCTCAATACCCAAGATATTTGTTCAAGGTACTATTAACTGCTGAGCTTGCATTATTTCTTCCCATTACTGAACATTTCTTTAAAATCAGAAAATGCTGACAAGCATAATGAAGATTCCTAATACCTGAAAGAAAATGGTTAGGACTGTGCTATCATATACTAGTTTTCAAACTTTCTATGTATTTAATATATATTTAATCACCACTCACAGAGTACTTACTACCCTACAGAAAGACCTAGAAGTGAAATTCCTATCTTTACCACTGAACAGTATATTAACCTTTATTGAGTGTTGACCATTTCTTTGCCAGGCACTTAGAAAGTTTGTTTTATCTACTCCTCACCAGAAGCCCTGAAGGTAGCATAAGTTAAGCATCACTCTGTCAGGCCACACAGCCAAAAAATAACCACAGAACTCAAACCCCCAAAGGTTAATTACTGTTGATACTTCCTTGATTCATAAAACACAAAACTATTTTATGATAATGAATTATTTCCTTATTTTTCCCCTTCTTCCCTCCTTCCTTTCATTATATAAGACTTGTATAAATCAGATGTCATCTTTGAAACTAGGAGGATTGAAGGGAGGGATGGGAGAGATTGATAAAAGGGGTGAATCAATCAAGACGTACTTATAAACTGACAGATTAAATGATAACGCCTTTGTACAACGAAAGATAATAAAAATACTACTTAAAAAAAAAAGAGCTTTCTCAAGCCCTCCTACCAAAAATAAGAAAAAAAATCAAATGTCCTGACCGAGAAGCGAGTCAGCCATGTTCACTGTGTCTTTCTGCACACAGGAACTTCCGCACACAGGAACCCTGGGTCCACCATCACCCCCAGCAGGTTACTTCAGGCCTCTGTGATTCATCAGACCCCAAAAGCTGCAAACACCTCACACTGTCAACAGAGACTCGGAAGGGGAAAGAAAGGTTATAAAGAGGAAACAATAGTTTCTGGGAAAGAAAACAGCAATCTAGTCTTCTCTAAAGGTACAACTGTATGATTCATTGGTACTTTGGTACAGCTTTTCATCCTGAGATCTTATGCTTTCAGGGAGCAAGGCTAACCAAACTGCCAGAATTTTTGAAAGTGTAGTGGGTAACTTGCTCGCTGAGGAGATCAAAGGAAGAACTGTTATCAACAAGAAGCCACCCTAAATAGGTTCTCAGGCATCAAAGCAGCCCTAGCTGGTCTGACCTGTCAGGTAGAGGATTCAGTATTAACTTGAGGGACAAAGCACACATAAGCTCTTAGGGCCTTTGGATGTGAATGGAAAAAAAAAAAAGAAAGCTGACGAAGGCTGACAAGGAGCCTGGACAGGACAAGCCCTCACCTGACACCACCTGCACCACCATATATCGGTACGCCTCCACCCTCAACAGCCTGCTCTCACAGCTGGAGCTCAGGCTTGTTCCTACTCTCAGAGGCCACAGGAACACCTGGTTTCCTTTCTTTCTAAAAGGTACTCTGTACTTTTAGGATTCTGATGCCAGACTCCTGTTCCTGTCAAGGCCTTCCTTTGATAATAAAAAATATAGGCTGGGAATGTGGCTTAGTGGTAGAATGTTTGTCTAGCATGCATGAAGCCCTGGGTTTGCTTCCTCAGTACCACATACACAGAAAAAGCCGGAAGTGGTGCTGAGGCTTAAGTGGTAGTGTGCTAGCCTTGAGCAAAAGAAGCTCTATGACTGACAAAAAATGTGTGTGTG